GATGACGCAGAAATAAAGGGGCGAGTATACACCACTTTCCTAAGAAATAGCCGAGCTATCACAGTACCTTGACTTAATGACAATACCGATTTCTTCGTATTATCCCGAAATCCTTTGCACGTGTCACACGACTGTCCGCAATGTTCCTTCATAAAATTTGCTGTCCCAAACAAACGTTGCAACGTGTTGCATCAGAACGAAGAGGAAAAGAGCGAGCACCTTGTCAACGAGAACGATCACGCGTATTCATCTCCGTGCTATTATATGAGAATTTAAAACTACATCCCGACGATTTACTCATCGTGTACGCCATTAATTCCACGGGAATAATGAAATAGCACCGCTGTCAGATAATTCATGGCAATTACCATTCGGTGAAGGTATCGAGAATCTGTGTTTCGGCTCCAAATGCCAGCGGACATAAACATTACGGTAATCGCAAGCAGAACAGAAAATGCGAAATAATGCGGCGTGGACAATGAAGTGACGCGGCCAGATATGATCAGAAACCAAGGAAGTTGCGATTACGTACACACGGAGCACAGAAGTTTTGAAATTCACGGAACAGTCGTCATACGCTAACGCAACTGGTAAGAACATTTTAAAGGGATTGTGGTTGGGAATGAAATATTCATTGGGAAAACTGATACGACGCTGCACACAATTGAAATTTATCTGTGGATGACTACCATAATGCTCCAGTCGAATGATACTCTTGTGGAATTTTGTCAATTCAAAATTGCGCCGATATAAATATTTTCAGGTACGAACTATTGAACACTTCGTGTGTTATTAACACTAGAATTACAGAGGATTTATTACGATTCATGTGTAATATCTGTGAATATTGTAACAATAGATTATTTTCAGTTTCTTCAGACATTCGTTACAGAGTTGAAGTGAAACTATTTTCGAAGTCATTTAGAATATTGAATTCTTTTACGATATCGATCATTGCGAAACAAGAAAACCGAAACCAGTCATTTTTACTGGTACGACGGTAGGTCTAGTGTCAAGAGACAAAACGAATTATGTAAGACGTTCGAAACCGGTGACGTAGTCCTACGTTATTTTTAATTTTTTTTTAGAAGAATAATAGTCGCTTAATTGTATGTTATTTACAAGACCTGTATTTAAGTATTGACAACATGCGTAGTTGCGTCATATATTTTTTATACTCATACACATTTAAATAGCAGACTCTAGCGGTACTCGGCTAACGACTTCGGGAAACTCTATGCGGTGAATGTGTTAAATGTTCGATGTGGGATAGCTGATTTTGCTAGTTGCTTGAGTTATAAGCATAAATTGTTAATTTTCTGATAATCAGAATAATTCGTTCCATTCAGCATACTATTACTTTTTAAAACAGATAATTAACTGGTATTATAGATAGTTTTAAAATAGATGATTAGTTGATAGTTTTAAAACAGATGATTAACTAGTATTATAGGTGGTTAACAACTTTATTACATATTAACGGGTTGATAAACGTCAGAATTATCGATGACCAGCATTTGAGTCAATTAGAATCTACAGAAATATTTATAAACCTTTCAAAACTATTAACATTGTACCATGAAAATTGATTCCACCCATTTTTCAAAAGAAATAAAATAGATATTAAAATACTGCTAATCAATAAAATTCGTTAAATAAAACAATTAAAATTATATTCCATAAAATACCAAGTATTCTAATGAAATGAAAACAGAAGGACAATATACTGCATAATGTAAACACATGTAATAATTACAATTTTATATTTCATCAAAATGTTTCTGCAACTAAGGAATTCGAATGTAATATGAATCATAACATTCGAAAGCAGAAAAATCTTCATTAAATCATAATTAGTCCATTTCCACGCAAAACCAAAGATGTTATATTTAATTTTGTTTCAGATTTAAACAAAATTTCTTCGAAAAAACATTATTCATTTTAAATTTGGGAAAAATTCTTCACTGGTCATGAGTAAAAATCGAGTGCAAAGGCACACTCGGTGATTCACCATCATTCACACGGCGAATCGTTGCGCACGTGATGGCTATTAGACCCACCTTGGAAACAGCTGAGGGCTGATAAAGCAAACATTACGTAATTCACTCCTGGAGAACGCGACACGGAATATCGCCGGTAGTTCAAGGGCGAGTGAGATTGCTATATGCAGAACCGCAATCTACATCGTAACGACACACATTGCCAGTTCGAGTACAAACATAGTTGTACAAACTAGTTGTACAGTAATAAATTGTGTGGTGTCGCTATCAAGTAACATGCGCTCCCTTTTCCCTCAAAAAGATTAGAAAATATTACTTGTGGTTGTCCAGGGAAAAACGCATATCGATTTTATGCATAATAGTTTGTACATTCAACTTTGATCCACTCTCGGATTGAAATACAAACGCCAGAACAAAATATTTATTACACGTGTAATGAGTGTGCGAGAGGAAATTGAATATTACATTTGACATTGGAAATTGGATTCTCTAATTCAACTATACTTTTCACGTAAAACAGAACCAATAACTATGTAACAAATCTCATTTCTTTACTATTTTACGATTAAACTTCGAATCGTTATGCATTACTGTCATGCAAATCTCAGGAACTTAGCAGAAATTTGACAGAGAAGAATTTAGACAGAATTCCTAGCAGAAATGTATTTTGTGTTTGTACATTTTCAAACAAAGTTCGATATTCACCACAGCTGGCGTAAAACATGTACAGAGATTACGTTTCTCGAGGATGCCACGATCAAGATCACCGGTTCGGCTTCCGGTGTCTGGATCATTACGAACACCATCGCAATTTGATATCCGAGGTCGCCACAGTGGCGGAAGATAGAATAACATTGACAAAGGTGAAAAATGAAAGATCGACAGGATATTGAGGGAACACTGTGTGCTGACAATGTCACGCGAGTGGCAGACGCCATTATGCAATCGTCGAAACGTTACGCTACAGGACTTTTAGTTGTGGTTGAGTCACAGGAGTCGAAAACCTGATTTACTGTTCATAATCAATCATTAGAGCCGACAGGAACATTTATTACCTAACAACGAAAATAACCGCAATACGTTTTGCAAATCAATTATATTCTACTTGCATTGAGGAGATGTGAAAGCTAAACGCGAATGTAAAATTTTATGTGCAATTATATGACATTAGAGTAATAAATATTGTCTGCAGTCGTTATAATAATAAATAGTATGCATAGAAGTATATGCGCAGCAATATACCTACTTATGTAATTAATACATAAAAATTCGATAATAAATATTCAATTTCAATTTTTAAATTCATCATATGAAAGTGCAGAAAGTAATACAATTAATATACAATTAGTAATAATTCAACTCTGATGTGGGTCAATAATATTTTTATTTTATTCTTAATTTAATAAAAATTAATGAAACACGTGATTATTGTTGATGTGAATAAATATTCACTCAAGATACTCTAGGTTTTCATTTTCCTCATTTTCATTGGAAAATATAGCTTTTATGGTTAAGATATTCTGTAAACTTTTGCAACATATTAACTTATTAAATACTTATTGACAATGCAACAGAACATTGTCTACTTTGTATGTGTAACGTGTGTATCTAAGAAGGTGGATATTTTCCACTGATCACAATGATTGCATATAAGTGATCCGCGCTTCCAATGCCTTGAAGCAATCAATTTAACAAGAATTTCCTTCCTGATTATATGTTCGCTACAGCAATTAATTAGCAATGATCGTACACGTTGATTACGTGCGTAATATTGAAGTTCCAGTATTCGATTTAACAGAAAAGTATTTACACGATTAAGATTTGTTAAATCTTACTCAACCATTGGATCAGGAAATTAGTATTTGTTAAGAACTTACTCCTTTTGATTAGCAAACCGAGCAGGATCTTTGAACCATTAATGAAATCCATTTATAATCCCTTTTAATTCGAGTTAGTTAATAGAAAAGCAATTTCAAGAAATATGTTTTCGAAGTTTATCGAAAGCCATGATAAGTTATTCCTACAGTATTTGGTTCAAAGTATTACCTATAATTTTATCAATTTTGCAAATATCGACAGTTAGTTTCATTTTATAACATTTTTCGAATATCAGTCTACAAAAATCGGTAAAAATACAATTGTATGATTTTTAAATGCCTTTATTAATTTCTAAATGTAAAGTTAGAAATCAATATTCATATAGATATTCAGAACCAATAAAAAAACGGTAGCATACATAATTCCTCAAGAGCGCAATTTACTTGCATGTTAATCTTCTAATTAAATACATAATATGCGAATCTAACTATAATATAGTAATTTGTACTAGCAGCTTTCACAGAAAGAAAGTATCGCACTATTACGTATTGTGTGCAACGACAACGTTTTCTTAATGATATGAAATTTCAGGAACATCACTACTCGTACTTACATTTTCTTTTTCAAAGAATCACTGTAACGCCTACAAACTACTATGTAATCTCTGCCGTGACTGGAAATTCGTCTTCCCTTCGTCTACCATTCAAATTTCTCTTTTATTTGATTTCACGAGCCATCTTGTATATGGACTGCTGATGCAACCAGAAGCATGTCCCGGGTTTTACGTCAGAACCGATAATTAGTGAGTTGGTTGCATAACTCAACATTGTCAGATAATATATTCGAACTGACTATCAGACAAAGATACACAATCAGCGAACGCTTGAAGCGAAAACAATACTAATTCCGAAATACGTTTGTATTCTTCGGTAAAATTCAAGTGCAGTACGATCAATATTATTTTCACACGATTTTAATTCATTACGAATAATTATTTCCCTCTTTTCACGCGTGTTTGATTTAAAACAAATTCTTATTTTTCTCTTTTTACACGATTTATTAAATTTAACACAATTACGCAAATTCTAACGTGAATTTTCATATGGTTTATGGATTACTCTGCTGATTCAATTTAAATAATGTTATTTTTGAAACATTTCGTAAGGTAAGTAATCTTTTTTTAAAGCAACATAATACCTTTACTCATAATTTATTCACAATAACAAAATTATTTTTCAATATCTCTGTCTGTTGCTTGACATTTATTTTTAGCTTGCACTTTTAATTCTGTTTGTACAATATTGTTTGCATAATTTAGGGTCTGTGCAATTCCCACAATGTCTAGTCTCTGTCCCCACAGTCGGGTGGTATAATCCGGTAACCCTTCGGATTTGAATCAGAAAAAGAATAATAGCGATGAAAGCGAAGGTAAAGTAGCCTCTATTATTCCCAAGCGTTTCATTCAACCTCCTGCGTTGTGGGAAGACTCAGGGGTAATATTGTGTTATTACTACTTACTACAATTGTTACGCGCCTACGTAGTCTCATTACGTCAAATTTATTCTTATTATTTGTATTCGACACAAATTACTTTAAAGGCCACTGTTCCTGGAAACGTAGAAACCAATTTAGTGTTGAATCGGATGTGACTTCTGAATGTAAAGTAGTTACCACTATTTTCACAATAGTCGCAATAGAAGAAATGTATAAGTAGATCTACGAAAGCACTGCGATACAGTTAGAACCTGTTTTATGCTATCAGCATGGGTCAAACAAACTTAAAGAACGTTGAACCAAAAACAACACTTGAACTGTCTTTAATTTTCCTCCATAATGTTGTCCGAACTTCATTTCAAACGGAGCTGTACCCTAATTGAGTTGTAATATTAGAAAATAGTTAGCCTTGTTACCCGAACAAAAGAATTTACTGGTATTTGTGATAAGAAGCAGTTAAACTTCTTGGAATCGATCTTTCATACTAACACGAATTCTCTGAACGTCGTCGATTACAATTCATTTGCACTCCACAGAGTGAAGTGACGTATTAATCTCAAATGCACGTAAATCATTTGTGTAAATTATGCACTCTTCACACAGGTGGGAAAAAATGATTTTACTTACAACTGTACACGTAATTGCTCATTTAAATTTACTATTCGGAGCACGGGTTTTCCCAGCGTAGTGGTCACTATTTATGCACTACATGGATTTTCCACTTTCTAATGTAAAAGTACCTATATAGTATATAGTACAAATATACAATGGAATATACTATGACACTGAAAAGTGCACTTTCGGAACCACAGCTTGACTAAAACTGACAGCTCAATAGCTGAACGATTTCAATGATAAGATTATGACTCGAACATTCTAGGCACGTAGAATCTACTGATTGGTAAGCAATCGTTTCCTTCTTCATAGTTGAACGGCGAATGGTTGAACAGCGACGCGAGAAACGCAGCCGGGTCATTTCTGACCCATTTTAAACTGTTTTGGTGGCGCCAGGAGGATGAATTTCGCCGATCCTTTACCTTAACAGTAAAACTACCGGACGGGTAAGAATGATGCATTCCTGATTTCTTCTTTTTGCAATTATTAAAAAGACAACGGTTGTTTCTTTTTAATGAGCAATTATCAAAGAAATTGATTTAGCAATGCGCGGACTGAATTCTAAATCAATTAAAGTCTCAATAGATGCAATCTTTGTATTTCCATAGAGGAATTTCAATAAACCAATTTAACTGCTTGGTAGTTTCAGTGTTGAAATACATAATTTACCAAGTACAGATTTACGATTTATAACACGCACTGAAAATTGACTCATTCGCTGGCGGACTCGAAGTATTATTTAATTAAAAATTTTTTAATAGTTGACCTAAGTTGCTACGCGATCGAATTTTCCACGGAGTGTCGTGTGTCAGCTGCATAAAAGTTTCATAATCACTTTAACGCTCACGTAATGGCAGTGCGAAAACTACTGTGGAAAATACTTGTGCATTAACGATTTATACGATGGGTGGTTACGGAATTTCGCGAGTCTCATATTATCAGTTGTACAATGTTTGCTGAAGATAAAATGAACGAAGCAAGCATCATACTTCGTTTGGTTCAGTGAGTCACTTCAACGTAAAGAAAAAGAAAATTGCGCGCCTAAAAACGTTCGATTCGTGGATATTTTTAATCGTATCGCTGAAATTGTGTTAATGTAACTATAGCCACTTCTTGAATTTTAAATTTTCTGTCTCCTTTTGAATTCCGTGTGACATATTACGCGCTATGATATCGTTACAACATTATACATATGAACTGTTTTGTATAACTGAAGTTTAATTCCTTTTAGTTAAAAATTGAGATCGCATGAACATTTCTTTAGTACAAAAGTATATTTAAAGAATTATAAATGAAAATACAATAGTAAGTGTATATCGAAGCATGACACTTTTATGGCTCTGTACTGGAAGATGACTATTCACCTAAATAAAGCAGGAAAAAAACGATTTAAAAATGTTGCAAGATCGATAAATGAATTTTTATTTATAAAAGTTAACTGTTATCAAACCGCCGAGTTCCACAAGTCCGGAGGTTAAGTAAAAGACATCGTGCATGCAACCAATTCACAGTGAGGATGAAACGCGTGACGAAACCGTCGCACGTTACGATTAAGCACAGTGTTTTTGGGTCAAGTGAAATAGTAAAACGGACGGCACATAGTATGCTTTCGACTCGGCAAACGTAAGAATTTTGAATCTTTGTGACGAACTGGGTTAACGAAGGAGAATCCTTAAGAATTCTTGTTACGAAAACAAATCCATAAACTAACCAGTTTTTCTAGTCAGAGATTTCTATGGACTAAATGAATTCACCCTTTGCTCTTCTAAAGTATTTCACTAGAAATATTCAGCATTTTCTGATGAGATGTAGACGATATTTTTTTAAAGCAACTTAACGAGAAATCATACATAAGATAAGGAACAAAGATCTTTGTGTTTCAATGTTTCACGTATTGATGCATTATACAAAGCTTAACCCTAGATAACGAAACTTAAATTAGTGTTACTTTTTAATTAAACATTCAAGTCATAGACCACGAATTAACAGTGCGGTATATTTTTATACTTCTACTTATTTCAAATAAAGTAGCACAACTCAAGAGATATATTATCAGATTATAATTAGAAAATAGGAAAGAGTCCGCAATTAACGTTTGTAGTATTTGTAGATGTTAAAAATACGCTCCTGAATTTGAATTCGCAAAAGTGGCGAAAATTGGTAGACTGTTTAGACGAATATTTAATATTTAATATTTAATATTTAATATTTAATATTTAATATTTAATATTTAATATTTAATATTTAATATTTAATATTTAATATTTAATGTTTAATATTTAATATTTAATATTTAATGTTTAATATTTAATATTTAATATTAACCTCAGATAACTAAATTTTATAATTTTCTATGTATTAAATCAAGTGGCCACTGAGAGCGGTCATTCGAGTGCAAAAGGTTAAAGACAAAGATACGCTTCGACCTCGCCTGTCTTTCTAGAACTTTCTTCTCAAACAGGTTAGAAATAACCCGTTAATAGTAATCGTACTGATGTAAATTAACCTTGTCACGGTTCAAGATTCCGATTACACTTACGCAATACGGCCTCAACCGAACGGAAACGTGTTCTTTAATAATCGCAGGTGATTTACAATTCGATTAACCACCTATCGACCGAATTATCTCAAGTATGTGTTTTATTTTCATAAACCGATTATTACGATAACTTGGTTTTCGGTGAGATCAGGTTAAATTTACTGCCGTTGTCGTTACTGATAAATATGAGTCACGTAGAAACTTACTCTATCGTGGCTTGATATAAAACCAGAGGTTGAGTGAAACTATAAACCGTCATCAATAAAAATCACTTATAGAACTTTCGACTTTTAAATCGGTCCTGTTCTGTTTTATGTTGATTTTATCCGTTGACACTTTAACTTTGTTGCACGATAATTTTATATTCGAGTATTAAGTGTTCTGATCCATCATATATTTTTAAACGAATATTTAAGGCAAAAACGTAGAAATTAGGAATACTGCAATTAATTCAAATTATTTACAAAATGATAAGCTATACACTGGTTCTGCAATGTAAATAGCTTTAGCAATAACGTTTAAACAAAAACTGAATTCAGTCACACACACACACGCACATCCTTAACATAAAACAGATCAAAAACAAAAACAGAAAATAAGATTACCGTATGCTCCAACATATTTACATATTTATACATTTTTGAGCACAGAGCACCTAAGTAAGAATTTTCTTATAATTAAAGTATTGGTTTATTGAATTATTCACGCTATACTTGATGTTATCTACACTTAATTGCCATTTGCCTTTGACAGTTACGAGCTCATATTTATAAGATTAATTATTTTATGACACTCTTCTCAGGCTGCACCTATACTACATTTTTTATTGGTTATAACTTGCAGGGTTGGAAAAGTGTGCAATGTCCTATTAAAATTTCCTCGAAAGACTAATGTAATCACGAGTATGAGCGTTAAGTATCACCCAACTAATGGTAAATCACTTGTGACCTGTTTCTTATGAATGCTCACGTAGCCAAACATTCAATTTTAAAATGTAAATTATTAAGTGAGGAGAAAAGGGTCAAAATAATTCATTACAACGGCGTAGGACCGTCTGATGGAGATATTGTCATAGAAGTAAAAAGGTCACGTTACATAATAAATAATTTCATTAGTGCAAATGCTTTTAGTAGCAAACATTACCTGTCTTTAGTTTTGAAAAGTTTCTTTATTTTCTCAATAAAGTATATTAAACATTTACTATTCTATTGTCACGAAAATAGGAGTCCACTCTTTACGAAAGTAGGTTCAATCGATAAAGTTACCAACTGTTACGATACCCGCTTCTATTCTATTTACAGACATTCTTTTCGAGGCAAGGGACTGATATCGATATCTGGTCCTGCCCATACGCCTGCAACGGACGTAACTTTTATCGGAAGTTCAGTTCGCTTCCATAATTCTTTCTTTTTCTGGAGAGTATTTTTTGAGCCCATCGTGATAAGAGTTAAACATAAAGGATGCAACTCATGCCTGAATCTTAAGTATTTGACCGATTACACATATCGTGGATATTTCTCGTCAGTACTTCGACGCCATACACAATTACGAGAATATAATCGCAGCATTTCGCTAACAAATTGTAGCTATATGTGAAATGGAGATTATTATAAATAAACGATGAACGAAAATATTTTTTAAATATTTTTGGAACATACTCATGAATTTCAAACAAAACCACTTTAACTTTCAAATCAGTAACCAGATATCCGGGTATTTTACACGGTTTCTAATGTTCTGATGACAAATTGACAAAAACGCTTGAAAATATTGATCTCTGAATACTTTAACGTCGATTCGTGATTTAAAAATAAAAGATTTGTGCAAGAATATTGTAATACTCAAACATTTTGATTACTAACATTAATTTCATTTCGTTGCTAAGTATTTTTTTTCTGGTCCCTAGGACTAACATCGGTAAGCGAGGGTTCAGCAGGAGATTGATTACGAACCGCAGTCGATGAACTTTCAGGTTGGAATAAAAATGATTGTAAGGTTAGTTGGATTATAGCAATGAATAAATAAGAGAATCATGTGTGCGTAATATACGAGTTAACTTTCTCACGCCGCACCTTTCTCTTGCAGGAGATTGCCTCGGAATATAAGATGTTGTAATAGCTATATAAATAACAGTATCTATCAATAAGTTCATCGTTAGATTGTTAAAAGTACAGAAATATTTTGAGCATTTCAGTTACGCTAACTATTATAATAACTTTCCGCTTGAATGGAGAATGCATATTTTAAATGTATTATTTGTAATGCTGCAGAAAACAATAAACGGAAGTTTAATACAGATTGCCATATATATTTCACGGCTGTTTTATTTATATTTTTTATAATAATTACTATATTTTTATTTGAAAAATAATAGAATTATATAACAGGGAAATACGTCGACTTAAACATGTTAGTACAGATTCTCATTTGTTTCGAGTGGAAGTGTTTTCATTGTACATTGTCAATTATTAATTGCTGTTCATTGCCATGAAATTAAAGTGGTGACGTTTCTTAAGCGGACTTAAGAAATTACCTTAAACATTATAAGCAGATCGTTAATTAAAAATTATTATTTCTGCAATCAATGATGAAAAATTAAGTGTTTTCTTGCATTCTGAGATAGATGTATACATATATCTTCGAATTATACTTACAGTCTAATCTCCAGTATCTAAATTATTATACCAGGGAGATATGATTGTTATAAGAAGACAATTTTTTGATAGATATATACCAAATTGTCTTCATAGCAATGATTTTAACTTTTCAAGAGAATAATATTGGAAACACTGCAAAAAATAGAAAACTATTTCTGGGTTGCATTTTTTGTTATTCATATAAACTATTTAACATTTCCAACCAGTACGTAGTAACATGAAAAATGACATTTTGTAAGAATGTGAACACGTTACGTTTGAATTTGTTATCGTAGTTAAAGAAATAGGTAAAATACATAAAGCTTATCTAATCTTTAAGTGAAATATATCATGCACATAATAGAACATGTGGCTGTCCAAACGTTCAAATACAAGATCTTCGGATGATGGGAGATCTAGTACACCTACTCTGGAGAAGACCTGGTATATAAAGTGTTCTATAACTGGTGACATAACAGACAGAAAGGTGAATCTACATCAGGAAATAAAATTTTCAAAAATGTGGAAAATATACATGTATAAAAGACGCCGAAAATACTAAACAACAGTTTTTTATTTGAAACTAACTTTTCACGAAGATTAAAATTAAATATTTGTGAAATGTAACATGAATTTGACTGACTTAACTGAATAAACTTACAGGAAATTATTTTATATGGAAAACGACTAAAAAATGTCGAATAAAATTTCCTCGTTTGGAACATCGTCCTCAAGAATATTCACTTTTAAATTCAATTGTTTTTAAAAAAGATAGCTCGAATGAAAGAACATATTATTTTATATATGTTTCATTTATTGTATTATCTAATTAAGAGATTAAGGATCTAATCCCTAATACTTACACACAAATTTTTTAGTAGAATCATGTTTCTCGCTTCGATCATCAAATAAACGTACCCTTTATATCAACAAATGATATTCCCACTGATATACCCAAAATTATTAAGAAAAGATCAGAACTCTGATAAAAAGATTTGACAACGAATCTGCCGAATCACAAAATATTAAATGAATCACAAGAAATTAACGCGCGTATACTAGGAGTGGAATTATCGATCAATTTTACAAACTAGGCAAAAGTTGATTGCCGCGAACACCACAGTGAAGGTCTCGGAAAGTAGGTGATTCCACATTCTGTATAAAGAAACGGATACCCGGCTATTCAACCAGGAAGACGATGGATTGTAACGAACCTCTAACTGTGCTTCGAGTTCCTGCGGAATTGTAGTAAATCACTCGATTTGCTCTCGCAACGCTCTACTAACAAGAAACGGCTTTTTTTTGTGTATTTTATCCCAATATCGAGATACGCTGAGTCACTGGAAACATTTAGAACCGGAAACGCTACGAGAAATTAAGTGGGAATCCGAAAAAGAGGAAAAAGCAGCGAACAGTCGACTCTCTGTGGCCACTCATCGGAACGAATTTAAACGACAAATGTATCTGAGAGAGATACATTATATTATATTAATTATTCATAATAAATTAATCATACTTTATGTATTTACTTATTTATATTCCACTATATATCTAATTCATAATTAAATTGGTAGTTATTCCATGATATGTATAATTTTTTACAGCTCAATGTAACATTTATACAATTCTTGAATCTGAAGCTATGACTATTATTGTTCGAATACTTTTGTTACTCTACGGTTTTTAAGAACAAAATGTCACTTTACATCGCAAACGGATTCGAATAATTGTTCACACGTAGAATTTACAGAATTTAAATAAACATTTAGAATACTATATAATACAATAAATCAGTTTGTACCTAAATTTGTCATAGTTAAAAACGTGTTACCAGAATGATTATTCTACATTTGTATAGATAATATATTGATATACAGAAGGAATTTTCCATCGTCTTCGATAGTCACTGGAACGTCAAATGAGAAGTGCATATTGCTGCAGAAAAAGATACTTTCAGCAATTTTCTCAAGCGTGACTTAAATATACATAAATCATACGGTACCTACTACAGCAGAAATGTATTTATATTTCGGGAAGGGCTTCCGAGAAAGTATACGCTATTTGTAGAGGATGTTTCCTTCAACTGGATACATCGAAGTATCTTATAAACCGTTGAATATATTAAAAACTTACTGTTATGAATGCTGTTCAGTAGAGAAACATTATGCAATGTATATATGGAACTTTTTGTATATGACAATATTGAAAAGACTACAAGGTGAACTTAATTTGCATAAATAGAATACTGTAAGTACATTTCTATTCATAAGAAGGTTATTCATTGTAGTAGAATGACAAGCCGGCTAGCTGAATGTATACATTGTGCTGCGAACCCGCAGTTCGAATGACTCTATGTGACATACGAATGTATAATACTCTATTTCAGAGAGCTAAGTTGGCCTTCAAATTTCCCCTAGAATGTCAAATAAAAAGAATACTATTTACATCACAGAATGACCCTTTCTATACCAATATCTTCGTACTTTATATTCAAACGTATTCAGTTAAAGGATTCACTGTATATGCTTTGAAAATATGAATTGCCTCGTGGTTGTAATGTCTGCCACGAATGTGTCAATAAAAGAAATTATTTGAACTTATTCTGTTTTATTGATGCATTCTATCAATTATTCTACAAACGTCGCAAGAATTTGTAGTTCAATATATTACTTCCATAACTTCTGATACTTGTGTTTTTAAATACAAGAATGTATTTAACAAATTAAATAATTTTATTTACTTGTATTTAAATGTTAATAAATAATTTCTGCTGAATTCCATTTTACTCTTTTGTATTGATAGGATAAATTGTTCAAAGAAAATTACGCTATTTGACATTACAAATAAGTCTATTTTATTAATCAAAATTACTAATGGAGTAAAATTTGTATTATACATATTACGGTAAAGAAAAGTTCCACGAACGTAAAATAATTTTAACGGAGTTGAGCATGATACATAGAAATCACTTGCATAAAGATAACAGTTATCTGTTGATAGATAATTAATTTCTGCGATTAGAATTGCAAATAACAAGATGTTAACTCTATACTAGTAAAGAAATTAATATTTTATTTTCCGGCATAAATTAGCAATGCTTTTTCATATGTTGCATCTCGTTTTTGCGCGAACGCGCTTATGAGTTTTGTAATTTCGTTCAGGTAATTACAAAGATTGTAGACTCAATTTATGCCGAAATGCTCAGTGACTGGATCTTTGACGTAAGACTGATCGATCTTTCCCAAGTTAACACCTGTAGTTCCTTCGTGAGAAGTAAACCCATCTTATGAAATTGTAATTGTTTGCGTATAAATTGCGTTTGTAGAAGAACTCCGTCTAATAATTAGAGTAGAATTACTAGATCCTAACTTGGTAGAATTTAACAATAACCTTTTATCGTACTCACGATGAAACCGAATTTAAAAAACGGAAGTTACCCTTCGTTGCACGAGAATATAGATTACATTAAAAGCAAGTCCGTGAAACTTCTGAACACATAGCATCACTTCCAATAGCTGAATGTCACATTATAAGAAACAATAAAAATGTACAATAAACATATTCAATAGTGCAAGTAACAAAATAATAGTTTAACACAAGCATTACAATATCAAATAGTTAATAATCGTTTCTATATATCTTTAGTAGAAAGAATAAGTAACATACAAAACGCTCAATATTCCCATAGCAGTCGTGTGAAAATAAAACGAAAGTTAGTGTCTAGAACAGAGCAATTGATTCATGTGAAAATGAACTGCAACAAATTTTTCGGTAGCTCATGCCGGCACGGCGCAGCGGGCCGATCGCAGTCGCGAACCTCGAGCCGGCGCTTAACTTTAGACCGTGCGCCGTTTAAAATGCAGCCACGGAAAGTCGGGACCGGAAGTAAAATAGAGAAAAACGTCGAGCAAAAGTAGTAGACGTCGGGACGTATGGCAAAGGGAAGCGGTTATTTTCTCCGTCAGTTCCTCGCCGCCTCTTTGTTCCCCTTCACCCTTACCCGCGATCATCTTACCTCACGCTGTAGGACCTTCCCGGTTTGGAGGTCATTGTACTGCAGCAACGGGGTGGCGGGCACTATAAATCGATTTCCCACAACGACGTCGAGGCGCCAGCGACCACCACTCGGGAAAAGTCCCCCACCACCCCACTCCCAGCCCCGCCGTTGTCCTCCTTACTATCGATGACGACCCGAACCCTCCCTACACGTCGCAGAATTACGCTTCTTGGCACGTGACTGGACGAGAAAATCTAACTTCTACGCCGTAAACCGGAACATCCTCCCTCCTCTCATCTCGTTTCCGCGAAAATCGATCGGCAACCCCCCCTGGCGCCAGGCCGACCGTCACACTTTTCTACGCCGGTTTAGTGATCCTTCGAGAACCACAACATAGTTTACTCGGAACGCTGGGGAAGGGGGGGTTGCATCCGGATGATGCAACTTCGGTCCAATCTCATCGAGCTTTCAATTATTCCAGCGTCCCAAGTATCGTTTGAGCCTCGAGTGATTGTTACACTGGCATGGAAGTTTGACGTAATGACAATTCAATGAAAAACAGTTCCATCTGGTACATGTGTACCAGCAGCTCCGAATATCGCCTCGAAATTTCCCAAGTTGGTTCCAATGAATGGTCAGAGCTTCCGCACCGGAATTCCAGTCGAGATACCAGTTATCATTCGACTGCGTGGCGATGAGGTGCAAATGTCACAAAAGACGATCCTCCTGATCGTCACAGGCTGGTCTGGCTCGGTTTAATCCGGTTGTCGATAGTGATCGATGAGGTGCGCGTAGCATCAAGGCCAGGGATTCCGTGCGCCACGATTTTTGCAGTGGCGCTCGGAACCAGGCTGACAGGGCACTCTCCGGTCGCCTCGTGCGTAAACAGATTCCACGAAAGTCCAATGTCACGGCTCGCCACGCGGCACGCTGTCGATCGTTTCTGTTTGCGGGACCAGTTATAGTTCAGCGTTGCCGCGTAAACGTTCGAACGCGTCGCCCGGAATCATTGCATTCCCGTGGCGTTCCTGGCATCCTTCGCCGGGACCGATGCAACCGCTCGTTCGCCTTCGATTGGACGAGCCGGCTCGTGGTCAAAAAACGTTTATCATACTGGATCATTTACCCAAGAATTTATATTCACGTAATCGGCAAAAAAGGAAAACAGATAGGAAAGAAACCGCAAAAACAGACACTTTCAATTGTCACCGAAGAACTGAATGGGAACAAACGAAGGTTGCGGTGACAGCGTCCTCGTCGATGTGAATGAAAAACAGATCGATCGTTACACTGTCAAATTTATCCCCTTTTTTCACAGGTAATCTCACCGATCACTTTCGCCTCGGTGTATTCGCAAACATTCTGTCTGAACGTCTGTGTGGCATGACGACGTGCGCACGGCATCTCGGGACGGAATGAACCGGAGCACGGGCACCGTGTGCGTGGCCACCCTCTGTGCCGAGGGGTGGGCAGGATGAGACGCCACGACGCGGCGCGATTATTGGGGAATTTTCTAACGGAGCGGAACGACGATGCGTAGGAGGGAACGAGGCGTCGCGACAATGTCTGCGGCAGCTGCAACCACCGGAGACTGTTGACCACGTTTTCTTCTATCGACCGTATCGCACTGCGGCGACGAATAGCACTGGCAACTTCACCTCGTGGCGCGCAGGTTTCATGCAGCCGAGCGGGAGGGTGCTCACGAGCACGCGCGCGCGCTCACCCCGGCCACTTTTGTGTATTTACACACGTACACACAGGTGGCGGTCGTGGCTCGAAGCACAATTGATACGTTTACGATGCAGTTTTCCCGGTTCTTTTCAACGCCGCAGCGCTCCATCCTTCGTCAAAATTCGAGGAAGTAATTCTGCTGATGGAAGCGGCCGAGGAAAATGATAAATCACGTTATCTACTGTACAAGCGGAAAGTTTCCAACTGCTTTTTGCTTCCTTGTTTCAAAAAACACACAGCGTAACACGTTGACTGTCACGAAATGTACTGTAGAGATTTTTTTTAATTTAATTAGAAAAGTATGAGATTTATACAATTTTATATATAATTACATATACAGTTTTATATATAATTGTGGGGATTCTGTATTAGCTTAAGTTGCTTCCAAACGTGGATAAGTTGGTATTAACTTTTTAAAAGCTGAAATGATATGGAGCTGAAAGCTCGTGGAGTGGAATTTCGTGTAATTTCATTCATAAAGTATTTATTATACGAAAATAGAATGGCACATTCTGCATTCAATGGAAATATATTCAACCACTTATTATTAATGCGTAATTCTATTATCATAATTATCCATAATGTTTAATATATATGTATTACATACACTTTGGTACTTATTAAACCCTTCCGCTGTCATATTATAATGTTCTCAACTGCTTCTCCTCTACGTGCACGGCCATTTCTTTATTGTACGTAAACATTATCAACTTCCGTCCGAATTAATGAGGCCTTAATTAATATCTCCGTTCTACTACATTGAATGAGATTTAAAAAAGAGGCTTTTAAAGATAATACTTTTAAAAGCATGTCTCGCAATCATTTCGATAACAATTAGTAAACTACTTACAAAATTAGGCACCGCCAAGTTATCGATGAAATAAATTCGCAGATAATTTCAAGGTCTCCAGTTTTATTGAAAACATGATTCCAATGATCATTATTTATTCACAGTGTCATGGCTCAGTAACTACAATATTGCAGAAATTAAATGATTCGATAAAATTAGGGCCTAGGTACATTCGACATACAATATGCATGTATAATGTACGCACCAACAGAATTTTCTTGAAAATACAAAAGTAAGTAAGTTTGTTTGAACTGTCGATTAATCATGATATGGAAGATGACTCACATGATAATGAAAAACCGCATAAAAAGAACCATAAGAACAGCGTATGCTATCTTTATATAGCATGCACCCTTATTTATGAAATAAAAACAATTCTGATTTTTATTTTAGGAATTTTATAATTTCTCCACTGAACTTATAATATCATTTAAGCCATAAAGAGTAAATACATAAACATAAATTTAATATATACGATTAAATATTCAAATAATTAGGTAGGCGAATTTTTCATTAAAGCTTTATTAAACACTATATTTCTTTCTCATTAATTGAGAAACAAGTCTCGTACAATCAGTCTGCAATGTGTGCGAAGCGACAACTACTTAAGATATAGATAAAATAAAAGTGAAAAATCAGTTCACGTTCATTTAAAGAAATGACCGAATACAAATCGCCACAGAGTAAAAAGAAACAAATAACCCATATACCTCTCTCTCTCTCTCTCTCTCTCTATATATATATATATATATATATATATATATATATATATATATATATATATATGCCTGTTTAAGAGCAAATTTATTTTCCAGTAGCGTGACAAATGATTATTCAATTATTAGATCAGATTAAAAGTCATTTTACTAGTGAATAACGAAAATTCAATAAGTAAACAATAAATAATACCCACAAAAATTCTTCGGTTAAACGAGAACCTTTAAACTTACAACGAAAACCGTGCAGTGACTGTAAGATAATCACTCGATGATCGTGATCGAGGGCAACCTTGAAAAAGGAAGAAAACGAGACAGTCTAATATATACCTTACACCTAGTTACTGTTACTTCCTTTCATTGTTACTTTACGAAGTTGCTCGCATTCGTCAACACGCTCAAGTATTCGCCACAATGTCGTAGTTCTCGCATTTCCCGCGTGCTACGTTGGCACCCCCGTGCCCGCCGTTTCTATCGAACAGTAGCGTATTAATAGCGTTTCTCGGCGGTTCATCCAGCAACGATTAAGCGACCCTTAATCAAAACAGACGTAACATCGGTTGAACGTCCAGCGAAATGAAAGAAAAAGGATAACCGTCGTCGAGATTTATCGTTCATACGAGAAGTCGAATTCCCGAGAAACGGACACCGTTTGCCGCAACTTAATTGCATTGCCCGTGTAATGAACCGTGTCTGTCGTCTGCATCAGTGATTGAGCAGTTACAGACGACGGTAAACGTTCGATTTTCCCTCTTATCGTGTCGGCTGTATTTACTGTGCCATTGTGATCCGGGGTCGTCCGTTTTTCTCATTCACGCCCGGCTATTTAGCAAGTCCCGTAGCGACACGCGGAGATCACATCCAACAGAACAATTAATCGACTACAGGAATAACTGAGGATGTTTGCGTTCGTGTACCATTAAACGGAATCGTTAACGAGCGATTCCACGCCAACGTGACGTGAAGATGACCAGCGTCTATGATCTCCGTGCTTATTGCTATTAGCTGATGAGAGCGGATACACTAAACGAATACCACATTTATAACGCCCCATGACCGCGAGCACTCGGGAATCTGGCCGAGGGCCACATAACTTGGTTTTTGCTGTAAAAGCGGATAAATCGAGGAACAAGAACAGGATCAATCTCAGTGGCGACCCCTGCCCGTAACAGAACTATGCGCAACGCTGGAGGAAGGATTATGTTGCGAATCCGCTTCAATTACAACCCTAATAAATATTAGTTTTTAATACTACGGGTGTTAATCCTCGCATGACGGATGGCCATTTTAACCTTCAACCCCTTACTCTATGATTTCACAACTGTGCTTGTTGAAACTAGTTTATCGTTAATAATTTAGCAGAAAACGAAACAGAATTTAATGCTTATTCTCATCGTTTAATGTTTAATCCGTATTACAGTCGCGTGGTGTACAATCACGCAATAAATTAATAAATGAGGAAATATTTGAATATGGTGACAGTTATTGGTTAACTTGTTGCACTATTATCTGACCGACGATCTTTCTATCTGTCTCGAATTTTTCTTTTATATATATACATATAATTAAATTATTCATACAATCAAAGCAGTTTTCTAAAAGAAACAGAAACTGGAAGGTCAAATCGTTTCTCGTGTCGATTAATTTGCTAGCCTCCTTACATCTCGTAGATCCAACAACATTTCGTTCGTTCGATGTGTTGCGGTGAAAATGAATTTGTAAGTCATTAGAATTCTCGTGTCAAATTTGAATAAACTGAACAACATGCGATTATCGTTGCTCTGCTACAGACGTGCTAAATAAACCTATCTTGAGTAGCTTTTATCGACGCTATGATGGATGCTCTCCCCGCCGGTATTAAAGCTGCGACGTAAACGCAGCCTAATTCCGCCGATCGCGCGGATACTTCGCGCGGCGTTGGTGTAATTTAGACGTGTCCCATAAATTTGTGGGTGTCGGGTGTATGTTCGGCTACGAAGGATCAGAGTTCGATGCGTGCCATGAGCAGGATTCCGAGGCGGCGCGTGGCGTCTGCGTCGTCCAGCGGGAATTCACGGGGCCAACACAAAGAAAGTCGCGCGGAATGCCGGGAGTTCCAGACGCGTAAATCGCTCAGCGCCTCTCCTGCGCATAGGTGAGCACCGACGGACAAATATAGAACGCGTCCAGAAATATGTCTTTCAGGCTGCACTTAAAATCGTCGCTTCCGCCGTGGCTGTCGTAGACTTCGTTACCTTTAGGGTCATTTTCGACGCCCCTGCCTTCTGCTTATACAGGCTCATCCACTTAACACAGAACCGGCACGCGAGAGCACAAACGAGACCGTCCGACGCGTATCTATTCACTAGAAACTAGATTCCTTGCCAGAAAAGTATTTCACGCGAGATCCTTTAGTAATGACACCGACCAAATTGCGAATTATGAGTCTAACACCTTAACGCTATCGCAGCCGAGTAAATGGTAGGTAAATGTCTGTCTGCCGGTGATTGTATTGATATACCTTTTGACACTTGTAAAAACCGAAATGTTTAATTTATTAGAAAATGAAAACAGAAACTGTGTACATTCAAAGTCCCGCGATAATGCGAGATCGATGTTAAGAGTCAAGTTTATATTTCAATTTGAATCTAATGGATATAGTAAAATCGAAATAGAATACTTAGAATTAATCAATTTTTAGTAAAATTTGTGTTATGTTTTATCAAGTTACGTACCCTAGAAATTATAGCATACCGAGTCTGATTCAGGTTCAGTCTATTCTTCTATTTTTATTTATGAAACTCGTTTTCAGTAGGACAGCTGTCCGTTTATTGACATTTCTATTATAATGTACTTAATAACAAAGAAAGTAAATAAATAAACTCGGATCATAAGTAGGATAAACTGATCGTGATCGTTTTGCAGTTGTATAATAAGGATGATCTCTTAGCGGTGAAAAATGTTTGCTGTAGCAATGAACACAATGTAACTTCTACGTTAACTAAGTATTAACTTGAAGTCATTGTATGTTTTTACTCTTTCGTCTTATTATTTCATTGACTCCAGTCTTATTTTTGGACCATTTATTTACAATTACAACATATAAATCTGAAGTGATTGTATTAGTTACGAACGTTTTGCTAATATTCGGCGTAGAATGTCGGAAAAGGTGAAGAAGGTTGTGAACCACTGCCGCCGACTGTCGTATAAACGCAACGTTAGTCGTAATTAGAATCTTAGAAAGTAATTTCACACCAATTCGACAGACGGATGGTATTTGTCTAGTCTACAGATTCCAGACGAAACCATCCCCACGATGAAACCGCAAACACAATCTTCAGGCAGAAATTCAGGGGTCTACGTGATTCCGACAGTTTGCTGAAGCAACAGTTCGCAGGTTCGCCGAATGTTCAGAACT